GTAGAGGGGCTGTTGATCCAGATCTCTAGCCCAGCACTGGGGCAGAGGGGCTGTTGATCCAGATCTCTATGGGGTGTTAACATAAGACACTTAAGAGTCATTGAGACAATCTGTAGGATGGGACTGAAGAAGAGGTTTATTCACCACCTGGCTAGCTATTAGATGTCCACAATCAGGTGATCACAGTATTTTCAGCTGTCCCACGGGGTTGTTCTTTCAGTACCTGACAACTTTCCCAAGACCAGGACACATCGTTGACACGCCCAGTGACACTTCACACTCGCGCCACTTCACCCCGCTGGGTCACGCGTCCCCCTCTGCTCTGCAGCTCTCCTGGAAGAAACACGGGACTGGGAACTGTACAGGGAGACCCCGCGTAAATGCGGGGGCACAGTTATGCGGCATTTATGGTAGCGATGCCTTCATCTGAACACGAAAGCGAGCAGATGAAACCGCATGATTGTTCAAGAATAAAGGAAGCACTGGGCTTTTAAACGAGACACAGCCCGATAGAGCCAGGCTGTCGAGGAAATTCGCTCGCTCTTCAGCGCTTTCCAGGGATTGAGTCCATTCCTGCACTGCCAAGGCAATGTGGAGAGTCTGATTTCCTGGACAAGTTTTACCATTAAGAACAGTGTGGAACTATGGAGTTCGGGAATTCATTTTCGGGGGTATTGTCAAAGGCGATGCTTAACAACGCGATTTAATCTCGTTTTCGCTTTAATTTTTCCGGGGGGTAAATAGAGAACAACGGAAACGAGTTTAACACGACGGGGTTCATGAGAACTAGAGCAATCTTGTCAAGAGGAGATCCATGCTCCCGCCCACCACGAATACTCTCAATACCGCCGTATACTCCAGTATTGGCGGAGATCGTCATCCGATTTTCGACCGTCGCCTGCCGTCTAACTCCTCACGGTGCTGTTAGAAAGATGTGTACTCGATAGCCTATGTGTTGCTACCGTTCTACAACAGAAAGTGATCTATCTGACTCGCCTGCAGAGTCAGTCATGGTATATAAAACCTCTGACCTACGGCCTGACGCTCTGCTTGTGGAGAGAGCCTGGTACAGTAATTCAAGTCCATCAGCAGTGCGGCTTCACCTGCGCGGCGAGATCGCGGAGGCCACAGGTTGGCGTCGAGCGGCGGGCGGCAGCGGTAAGGCATTCATTTATTCTCTCAAACCCCGACGCACTTGTTACTCGGACGGATCGTGCCAGGGGGACATCTCGGAGAAGTGTCAGCAGCTAGAGGACACTGGAGCGAAGCCCGTTCACGGCCCTGGACAGTCCAGCCCCCGGGCGCGAAGGTGATCCTTTGCAGTTTTCTTTTTTAACCGAAGTTCGGAGCAGTCGCTCGGGAAGCGTTAACAGGGTGTCTGACCCAACTGAAACTCTGTCTCCCTCTCCCCGCGTCTCTCTATCTCCCTCTCCCTCTCCCCCCGCGCTCTCCCTCTCCCCCTCGCTATCTCTCTCCCTCTCTCTCTTGACTTGGTGACAGACCTAACAGCCTTTTGTTGCGCTCGCAGCCAATAGAGGCGGAATACGACACGGAGCAGCTGTGATATAAAAAGAGCCCTTTTTAGACTTGCCTGCACACCATTCATTCACACATCTTCACACGGAATTCTTGATGATTTTAATTGTGTCCGGCTCTACAACCAAAACAAACCGATAAATCAGCACTTCTGAACGAGCTAGGGCAGCGAGCGCCGAAGAAACGGCTGGGCGCACCCTGCGGCGCGTTTATTATCATCGTTTCTCATAGTTAAGAGCGTTAATAATCGTTTAGCACTGTTAATTGGAGTATTGGGATTGTTGCTAATTACCGCTAGCTCTGTAGGGACGCGGTAGGGGCTGCAGTCAAGAATACGGACAGAAGTCACTTGTGAGAAACGAAGTGAGGAAGAGCCGGGAGAGAACACGACCTCACGCTGCCCGGCATCATGCCCAAGTCTCACTTTCTTCTGTGTTTGATGGCACTGATTTCGCTGCGACTGTCGGGCAGTGACGAGCCCAGCCTCCCCCTGCGGCCGGCGAGCGAGGTGCCCACGGAAGCCGGGGATCCTTTGGCAGAAGCGGAGGATCCGGGCGCGCAGGAGTGCACGGCGTGCGTGTGGAGGGAGCACAGCAGAGTCCTCAGGCTGGAGACCATCAAGTCCCAGATCCTGAGCAAGCTGCGGCTCAAGCAGGCGCCCAATATCAGCCGGGAGGTAGTCAACCAGCTGCTCCCCAAGGCGCCGCCTCTCCAGCAGCTCCTGGACCATCACGACTTCCAGGGGGACGCTTCGCTACAGGATGAGTTTATGGAGGAGGACGAGTATCACGCCACCACCGAGTCCGTGATCACCATGGCTTCGGAACGTGAGTGTTCGCGGCGAGACCTCTCTCCCAGCAGGTCCCCTCGGGGCGCGTTAGTTATTCCAGTCTTTGCTAGCGGTGCGACTTGCGGCTATTGAAGAAATACCCCCCCCCCCGCTAACTTTGAGAGAAGCCTGACCAGCAGAGCCGGGCAGGCGGCGGAGTCCCGCACTTGCAGTCTATTGGAGTCTGTTAGCTCTTCCGTTCCCCCCGTGTCAGCTGGGCGCCTGTCAGATTGCGGGCGCGGGATTCGTGAAGGGGACACTCCGCACGCAGAAGTCAGTTTTCCTATGTGTCCCTATTGAAATTTGGGTCGATAAACTGATGTGAACTTGAGAACAAAATGTATTTTTTTTTCTGCCCGGTTCCGCCGTTGTAGTGGAGTCTCCAGGAAGATCCCTTTTTCCTGGGAGTCGGACCCAGGCTGTCCCCACTCTGTGTCTGTCATCTGCACTGTGCGCGTCCGTGTTGCTGGACTCCTCTGGACCAGACGCATCAAACTGCCTTAATTCCCATTTTGACTGTGTAGGAAAATGCCCCCCTCTTTACAGAACAGTGTTCTAGGCTGGTCGTTTTCTGCGTTGCTCGGATTTTGTGTACTTTGGTACGAGCCTTAATTTAATTTGAGCTTTCAATCTCGTCAGTTAATGCACGGAACACAGCCTAGGTACTAAAAAGAACTTTGCCGGCAATCTTCTCTGTCATGTTGTGTTCAGACCCGTCATCGCCGCACACAGACGCGTCTGGTACTGTAGTTGCGCATCTACTGAGAACGGCACAGGCCGTTCATTTTGCGGGCTATAACAGGTGTGCAGGTTGTCCGTTCGCTGCCTCTTCATTTAGCGGCCTTTCTTTTCGTCCCACAAAAGACGCCGAGTTTAAAGCAAGCGAGCAGGACACGAAGCCTCCCGCGTCCCCGCGTCCAAACCCACACCAGGAACCGCGGGAGTGCGAACCAGTTTCGCTCGTTTTCGGATACGCGTCGCGGTTGGGCAAATTCGCGTTTGAACCCCCTCCTCTCTCCCATATGCGGCTTGTTTAAATTGTTTGACAGACCGAGAGCGATCATTTGACGCCCCTTCAAGCGGGCCGTCCGTATCGGCTACGCCGAGAAAGCCTAATCCTAACGACAATGTAAATGAAACCTAATTACATCAAGCGCAACAGATGAAGAAACGTCCAGGGTTAGGGGTCTCGCAGAGACGGGCCATACTGCAAGTTTTATAAACCTTACTACAGTCAACAGCTGCGCTATGGTACTCCTTTATAAGCGAGCTCTAACGGGGTCTCCCGCTGCTCCGCGCAGCGAGGACAAGTGTGTTCAAATACCCGCTATTGTTAGCTGTCGCTGCGGCGCTCTGCTGCGCTGGCCTTTTTCAAATGAGAACTTTATAGGCAGAGCTCGCTTTTTTTTTTCACTGGAGATAGCAGGGCTGAGAAAGTTGGATTCGAGGGAGTGTGTGACCTTTCCGCGGAGAATCGCTGAGGTTCGACGAGATTTACACACGTAATGTATTCTGCACAAGGCTACCCAAAAGCCGGGTTAACTAATCCTTTGCAAAAGCGAACAAGGGTAGGTTTGTGTTGCACATAACTAACTTCTACAGTGATTGTCACACAGGCCACGTTGTGCTGATGCGGAGCGCATAATAGACTCCGTATATATTTCTTCCACACAATTTCTTTAGAATTCGCACTTTTACCGTCACAATAGCAACGCTGAGGGTTCTGCAAGAGGCGATTAGCGACAACGGGAGCACGTGAACTGGAAGAACGAAAATATTTTATTAGAATTACTTTCGAGTTTTCCTCCGTTGTCATGCCACCGCCTCAGTAATTTTGTATTCTGAAAGTCGGTTTTGCATTTTAAAAATCCTAAATCAATGTCGGAACTGTACTGGGTTTACGCACGGTCAATGTAGTATACATTTATTTACTGCTACAGCTCAGCCAGCAGAGAAGGACGCTGTATTGTACACAATAAACTAACGTCATAGAGCACCATTAAATCGGCTATTAGTTAACAGTAATAATAACGATAAGAACAGAAAAAATAAAAACCGGGGTTCAAATCATACAATCTAACGCGCCTTTTGCTGAACAATGTCGTTTTTAACTTCATATAAACCTGCAAGGGATTAATTTTTAATCCCGAAATAATTAACCATTTCTGTCTGCTTGTGGGTGAAAATTACGGATGATGTCCAGTGGTGAGAACCGTGTCCTCTCTTTTTCACTAGAAGATTTCACATTCATTCCTTCTCATTTTCCTTCTGCACTTTTTAGTTGGCAGAGGACTCAAAGGTTGTTGTTCTTGTAATCAAAGAGAAGGTACGAATCGGATTGCGTTTTGTCTTGGCTGTAACCTTCACTCCCCGTTTCCCTACGTTCTCCTCTGCCTGCTGAACCGTGACGAGGGACAACATCGCTGAGGACAGTTGGGGTTACAATTACCTGTTAACTGGCGGGTCACAGTCTCTGACCATCATTTCGCTTCGTCAGGAAAACCGCCCAGAAATGGGACCTGCAGCTTTAAAGATTTTTGATTCGGATTCGCATGAGCAAGTCGTACCCGCTGCCTTAGAAAATCGGTATAATTCAAGTACAATTAGATTACGGAACCAGTTCAAATGCATTCTGATCTCATTCTGCAGGCACACACTTAGCAGGGCTTGAATTGTCTGGTGGCCTGCCCCTCACTGCTGGCTTTGGAGATCCTCCCTCCCCCCCTTGGTTTTTCCAGGTTTTCATTCCACCTGAACATTTAATGACTTAATTGATTCAATTATCGACTTAACTGGCTTACATTTGCGCTGGTTCTAGGCCTGGAACAGATGAGGTTTACAGGGGAACTTTGGAACGGATGCTAAAATCCAAGTCCAGGGAGCCTCAGCTCTAATGCTTCCTCGATCCTGATGTCGTTTCCTCACCTAAGACATGATAAATTCTAAATATCACACGCGATGCCTCCTCCTGCCCATCTCCCCCTCCTCTTCCACAGGGGGGTCCCAGCCTCTCGTCCGGTGCACAGGGAGGGTCAGCCCTCAGCCAAGCAGGCAAAGCCCGATATACTGTGACTAAGACTCTCAGTAAACCTTCAATGCGCTTAATTCTTAATTCTGGGGTGTGGTTCTTCCTGGTGAATTGAGAATTGGAAGTTCCATGCAGGCGCTGGGGTGACTCACGTGTCTCCCCCACTCGCATGAGATCAAGGTCTTTTCGGTCTTCCCCTGAGGTCAGCCCAGTCTTCAGGGTGTAGTGAAGCCATAAGGGTGGGGCTCAGCTTGGGCAGTCTCGGCCCGGCTTCGACTGTGTCGTTGCTCGCTGTCGGGAAAAGAACAAAGCTGCTAGTCTGAACCTGAATGCCTGCTTGGCCCTCTGTTCAGGCTCGTCTAACTGCTGCTTAAACCACCATGAGAGCTCCACTGGCCCACTGGGCGTAAGTCTGGACTTTTGGCTCGTCTTCGGAGTTGTTGGTAATTTCGTTACCTTGTCGTGCTTTAAAGAAAGCTGGTTTCTCTGCACAGGGATTCCCTAATTGCACAGCTCGTGGGCAGCAGTCCAGCAGGTCTCCTTAAATCAGCTGGGACTTCAGCCCTGTGTAAGAGGGTCAGCTGCTCCAATTAAGCTTGAACTGAAAGCGCTCCACCCTCTTCCTGAAGACTGGTGGTGTTTATTCATTGTGGCCTTTAAACTCCCTATACTGTGGCATTCAGGCAGTTCCTGTGAGCAGGACCCAGCAGATACTAAGTGCTGCAATTAATGTTCTCTGCTCATAAAGTGTTGTTTTTATTTGCTTCAGCAGCCCATGATAGCATTGAAGTTCTATCTTACGAAGAGTGTGTTCTACATACTGTCCAGCCTCTGTCATGTGGTGTAAGAGTGTCTCCCATTTGTTAGGTATGTACAGCTGTGTCTGTCTATTAAGTTATTAGGTTGTGTTCTACAAGTTAATGTGTATGGTTGAGCTCTTCTGGTACAGCTGTGTCTTCTGTATGTCAAAACGCACAGCTGTGCCTGTCCATTATGGTCATAGGGTGTCCTCCAATCAGTCCTATGTGCAGTGAAACCTGTCTTGTCTGCTGAAAGAGTGTCTTCTCTGGGCTGATCTGTGCATCTGTGCCTGTCCGTTACAGCAGCAGGGCCATTCTAATGCCAAGTTCATCATTGCTGTCACTTCTCAGTCCAACAGGTGCCACAATTGCAAAGACTAGGGACAGTGCTTGAGCTGCACGTGCAGATACACAGCTAGGGTGTATTGTGGTCTGAAATCAGTCATGGGTGTCTTCAGCTCACCTGCAGCCACTGATCTTCGAGATGAGCAGGTCTTTACCTGGCACAGGTATTCCATAGTTTATTTCCCCATCCTGTAGTCCCCCACAACAGCCTAGACATCTGGTTCTGCCTACAAATGAGGTATCGTAGTCTCTGTGCTGATTTACAATGTACAGAGTGCACTCACCAGTGCGTTCAGCAGAAATGTAAGATGTGTGCTTGTTTTACATGCAGAGCACAGCGAGCAGATTGCAGCACGAATCGTCAGGGGCGAGAACGATCACATATCCAACGTGACAGGTGTGGCCACACGAGCAATCTGAGGACGTCTGTAAGAATCCTAACAAACAGGCCTAGTGAGGTGATCACAAGTGTCTTCCACTTGAGGTCTTCCCTGGGCCTCTGCTGTCAGATTCTGCAGGCCTGGGCTTACCAGGTATCTCAACCTCTCTTTAAAGGGGAACTGCAATGCTATTTGTATATTTAATCAGCATTCATGAGGGCATTGCTAACCACAATAAAAGTAAAGTGTGCACGGTAACTTGTAAAAATAGACACAATTTCCAGGTATGTGCAGCACCGTGTTCTGCGATTCAGAATGAGGCAACGAAACATCTTGTGATGTGTGCAGCCCTATGGCATTGTCAACAAGTAGGCTTGTGAATACATCTCTTGTACTCCGATAGAGATATTGCTCTCAGCTTCGGGACTTTGACTTTTTCTTGTAA